CTCTGCCTCCCGAGTGCCTGGATTAAAGGCGTGCACCACCACTGCCCAGCTTGGTACCTATTTTTTTATAGTAGTAAATACTAGCCATGCATTCAATATGGATTTAGTCCTGGTGAACCATGTGTATTGATGGCATTTCATATGAAATGTTAGTTTGAATCCCTGCTTCTTTTTAATCAAGCATAATAAATATGAGCAAATGTGCCACTAATAAATTTTAACTTTGAAAATGCATTTTGTGTGTCAGATTTCCTCAGTTTAACTGAAAATTATAATCATATTACTTTCTTTCTAAAATCATTAAATATTACAGATGTCAGGATTTCAGTTAGGGCAGTACATTGACTAATATTAAACAAGGAGTAAATTTAGGTCTTACATCATAGAATTTTTAAATCATCTACACACTATAAATGAATATATAGATACGTAAATAAAGGTAATGTTTCCAAAGCAAACCAAGTTTAATTTAAACGCTAATATGAGGAACCAAACATATCAAGCCCTTTATTTTGGTGAGATGTGTCAATTTAAGAGAACGTTGCTCATTTGTGTCCCAGAGGATATGAAATATGTGTCTAACAAGGTTGGTTGTAATATAACTCCACTGGAAGTTATGAATTCTTTGGTAAGTGGGTACTTTGAGAGTTTTAGATTATTTGAGATGTATTGTTATAGGGGGTTAAACACGATTGGCTCTCTTGGCTTTGTATGTTTTCCTACTTGCTTCCTGGTTGGTGGACTGGGAACAATTAGGATGTGTGACCTTGTTGGAGGAAGTGTGATCCTCTTGGAGGAGGTGTTTCACTGGCCTTTAAGTTTTAACATCCCATTTCAGATTCACTCTTTCTGCCTAGTGTCTAATTCAAAGTTTTCTTTTACAAGATTCCCATCTACCATCTAAGGTGCCACAGGTCCTTAATTAGTATATAAAAAATCCCCCATTGTGCATAAGAGGAGGAATGCCTTTTTAAATATGCATCATGTCTCCTACAAAACCAAATAGGGCAGCCTCTATAATTCTCTGGCCAATATCTACACAGTTTGACCATAGAGAAAGCAAGTACAGAAGACAGGTGTTTTATAAATCAATTTGGCCTTTATAGGGATAAGCATTTCCTATTGGCAATTTGCTGGTGAGCAGGCTCCAGATCTCACCACGAGAGGGGTCTGGATGAATTCCTGAGTATAGCTTTCCTGAGCCTTGCAAATGGTAATATAACAAAAGCACAGAGGTCAAAAGATATCTGAAACATTTTTCATTACTTTAAATAACTTTCTTATGCCTTAAGAACTTTGCATGTGTTAAAGTACTTTATTATAACTTCCGAACTTTCCTTTACTTTCTTTAAATCTCTTTGTTATACTCCAGAACTTCCATTTACATACCTTAAAATGCTTTCTTACATGTACCCTCAGAACTTTTCCTTTACATTCCTTAAAACACTTTCTTATACCTCAGAACTTTCCTGTACATGTCTTAGAACATTTTCTTACACTGTCATTGTAACTGAACTGCATTTGCACAATAGCCTCTCCTGGACTTTTTAGAAACTTCTGTCCTGCCACATATTGTTAAGCCTCGATTGCTCTCCATGACCCCCGAATGTCTCTTTAAAACTAATACCACCTAGCTTACTCATATATTACAAAGTTCAGCTACCCATATGAGGTATAATCTTGTATATAAATGCATGAAGATGAAGCTTTAATGTTTTATTAAAAGAACATTGTTTGCTAAATCCTATCTTCCACAAACAAAATTTTTATGGCTTCTGCTTTCAGGACAGGGATTATTAAACAAAATAGAGAAAACAGACATATGAGGTAATCCCAGGTCAGGAAGAGATGAATAGCAGAGGTATAGGAAGCAGGGGAAGCCTTTGACAGCCTACCATAGAAAAATTTCCTGACCCTACTAGGAAAGGCTGTGGGCTACTAGTATCTTGGCCATTGCAAGTTCATATTTAAGAATTCCTCCAGACAGGTGTAGATAGGAATAATAGAGAAGGAGAGAGCAAGATTTTTAGGACATTTATTTGTGCAGTGACAGAAGCTGACACCACTGAAAATCGAGCATGCCAGTTTTGGCCATTGACTATACTGAGGTCAATCTATTTGTAGTAACAATGACATTTGAATCAAACTGCGTCTGTGGAGTTTAAGAGTGACAAAACCAAACTCCACCAGGAAAGTATTATCAGTTCCAAGGGGGAGCTAAGAGGTAAGAACAAAGCCCAGTAGTTCACAGAGAAGTCTTGAGACTTTCTGGAGGGAGTTAGGGACAGAAAGCACATGGTCTCAGGGTCAAACAGATGTGGGTTATCTTGGGCTATTTTCATTTTTCCATAGTAAAAAAAAAAAAATCACACTTTCTTTTAGTCCTTATTCTAACCTTAAATATTTACCCTGTCTTAAAAGTACCTAAATTATTGATCTTGTTTTTACATTTTTCTGTTTCTTATGTTTGATCCTACTATAACCATTCTCTGTCCAAAAATAATGACTGTGTTTCTCAAACAGCGTACTTTATAGTTTCAAAGCTGAAACTTGGAGTTTCAATGTTCCTTCATCCTGATTCAAAAGCATCCAGTACCTATATTACAATAATGTACTATATTACAATAAAATGTAAGGCCAGTGTTTGAGATTTCTCTTTGGAATTCACCCTGCCCTGAAACCTAATATTTTTTATTATTAATTTTTTATTTTCCATCCAGACTGCAGCTTACCCTTTCTACTTTCCTTCCATTTCCTCCTCCTGATCAATGTGACCTCCAGTCCAAGCGTCCTCCATTTTTTGCACAGAAACTAGCAGGCCTCCAATAGGCATCTGCAAAGCATGACATTCCAACCAGCCATAAGACCAAGCACCTCCCCCAGCATACCGGTTGGGCAAGGCAACCCAGCATGAGGAATAGGTTCCCAAGACCCAGCCAAATCACTAGGGACAATCCCTTCTCCAATTGCCAGGAATCCCACATATATATAGACCAAGCCACCCAATTGTCACATATATGCAGATAACCTACGTCAATCCCATGCAGTTCTCCTGGTTGGTTCAAACTCTGTAAGTCTGATAAATTCGCTTAGGTTTCTGTGGGTTTTCCTGTGGTGCTGCTGGTTTTTAAATTTCTCATTATATTTATTTTTATATGTTTGCTTAAAATAACGGAAAGTAGTAATATTCATAGCTTAAAATTTTTAATGTAGAAATGTGCATCTTTATTTAAAAGGATGTCAAGTCCTCTATATCATGTAATATCCTTAACAATCTATATACTATGTATATCCTAGAGTATTGGAAGAAAACACATGGCTCCTACTCATTAAAGGTCGTCTTAAGTTCTTACTAACTTCTGGAATAATTATATTACGGTGTATTTCATTTTTGTCTCCTTAATATTTTTAGAACCTTAATTATTATTAAATCTATACCATCTATATCATCAAGGTACTTTCTACATAAATCAAATAAAACTTAATACTTTCATGAAAATTTCAAATTTATGAGATGCACAGACAACTTGTAAGTAAAATCAGCAGTAAAGAAATAATGTGAATTGAAACATTTCCCAAGTCACCTTAACAGTATTACAGAATGTATTAAAGTGACTATTTGAACACAGTAACACTTCTAACATGGTTATGTTACTTTGTTCTGAATCCAAACACCAGATGAAATTCATTTTATATTAAGTATGCCCAGGCTGATCTTATTCCAAGCTGTATTTAACAAAATCATTAGTGCGTGAATAGCATAGAAATGTCAAAAACGATTAAAATCCCTTTCCAATTTTTGATATTGAAAAGCTATATTATGGAAAGATAGGAAAGTGGTTATGCAATACGTAATGAAGTTCAACTTTGAACAAATCAAAACTAGATCACACTCAACTTTAAACTTACACTAACTGCTATTGACTTTTGGCAAAGAAAGTTAGTGATTCACATTTCATGATAAGCCATTATTTGAAAGGGTTTCCTGTAATTTTGCATATATTGCTTCTGCTGAGCATGGTAAGAGCACTGAAATACTGGGCTTGCCATATATGACTATAAAAGAAATGAGAATGTAATAACCTCTAATGACATGAAAAGCTAATTATGCATACAATTTCACATTACCTACTTATTCGGTTTTTAAAATTTGTTCTAGTTCTTCACTTTTTATATACACTATTTTATTCTCTATTCTTTCTCATGCCATTTTATTCTTTTGTTTAGCGTCCTCTCTTTTGACCTATTATGCTGAACAATTCTTGCAGAAGATAATTTGTCCTCACTGTCATAATGAATCCAATTTTCCGTAACACAGACCTGGCCATGGCATGCTGCACTGCAAGAGGAACCACCTGAAATGCTAATAAGAGGCACTATTTGAGAAGTGTGACTGTACTATTATAGCTTTAATTAGATCAGTCAAAACTCTTGGTGAATGCTGTTCTCTGAAATACCCCTTAGCACAGGAAATCGTGTTCTTAAAACTTCTCTCATTCAAGGATGAATACTATTACTGTTAAATATAAAAGCACAGCTCAAAATGTGCTACCTAATAAATAAAAATCTTAAATTATAATTGCTGATGTAAATGACAAATCTTTTGTCAATCATCCAATGTACTAACCAATTAAGTTTGTGAAATTGCCTTTCAATTTGAAAATGAAATAAATATATATAGGCAAGCAAGATTGAAATAAAAGTTGCATACCAACCTTATTGCAAAGCATAATGCTTCTGAAAAATATTTCTAATAAAATCTAGGCTGATGCAAACATAATTTTCTCTACCCTAAAATAGCAAGTAATATAAAACTCTGGTGGTTTGAATAAAAATGATTCCCCTAGACTCATAGGGACTGGTTCTATTAGTACATGTGGCCATGTTGTAGTAGGTTTAGTGCTGTAGGAGGAAGTGCATCACAAGAAGGCATGTTTTGATGTCTAAAATGCTCAATTCAGGTCTAGTATAGACACTTATTGCTCTCTGTGGATCCACAGGTTGAATTCTTACCTCCATCTCCAGCACCATGTCTACCTCTATGCCGCAATGCTTCCCCCCATGATGGAAACCTCTGAACTGTAAGTCAGCACCAATTAAATGTTTCTTTTATAAGAATTGGCATGCTCATGTTGTCTCTTTATACCAGTAAAACCCTAGCTAAATTAGAGCCAAATCTCTCCTACTTTATAAAACCCAGAAAACTAGAAATATAAAGTTCAAATACCCATATTGAATTTGTTTTTCTCATCATCACATAACTGTGTAGTGGTTTACAGTATTTCTTCTATGGCTAAAATAAATATTTCATTTAATCTTGTACTTGTTAGTATAGTCACAAAATACTCTGAGAATGTATCATGGGCTCATATCTTAGTGATGTAGAATATGGGTGATAAGTTCACAGAGCCAGTTTAATGAAGATATGCTGGGATCATAATGCCACAATGATCAATCAAGAATAGTTGTGGTTATTTCCTGTTGACTTCTGAATTCCACTTCCACGAATTATTTAAAACATAGCATTGGAAAAATGTTTCAGGAAATGAGGGCTGCATGATTCTTTTTTTTTTCTCATTCAAGAAATTTATTAAAGTGGAAGAATCCAGGAGAGTGGCTGCCTCTTCCAGGTTTAAAAGAAGAACAGCAGCAAACTGAACAGGTGCAGGGCTTATATAGGGCTTCTTGGGGGCCGAGTTTTCCCAGGGAGATGAGGGATTGGTTAGTTTAGTAGGTTAGGCGCAGAGAAGGCTGATTTCAGGGCCAAACTGTGTTTCTCTCACTGGTCTTTTGTTTGATTGTTTCCTTGACTCTAGTTTTGGGGCCAAGGAATATTTCTTTCACTGGCTCTGCTTTTAGGGCCAAAGTGTGTTTATTTGGCACTGGTTTCAGAGTCAGAGTGGATGTCTTTGGTTCTGGATTTGGGGCTAAAGTGTTTTGTTCTCTGGATTGGGTCTCAGAACAGGGTGTGTTTCTTCTACTGGCTCTGGTTTAAAAGCAAGGGTGAGTTTCTTTAACTAGGGTCTGGTTTACGAGCCAGCATGAATCTTTAAAGCGTCATTCTCCAACATTTCAACATTTCTAAAACTGTGCTACAGTTTTTTACAACCCAACTGGTGATTTAATATAAAAAATATAATATATAAATTTTATATATCATGCATATGTACCACCATTCATCCAGTGTTGCTGGTGTATATTTAATTTCATTTCATCTATCAAGTACCATAAAAATTATGAATTGTGAACTGAGATGAAGCATGGATATATCGTTTTTACTGTTTTACTCATGATAAACTTCAACATCTATATCTTTGGTCTCTTTGGCAATGTGCACATTAATGTATGCTTAGATTGAGCCAGGAAAAAAAAACTTAGTTTCATATTTCCATTTTATTTAGTTTCTATTTCCTATTAAGTCAGTTCTCTATAATCAAACATTTTCTTCATAAAAGATGGTGTTGTTGCCGCTTAGTTTTCATTCATCTGAAAATGGCAACAATTTTCTGTGAATTTTCAAGCATATTCTTACCAGGTATGGAATCCTCATTCAGTAAATTTTCTTTTCTTATTCCCGTTTCATTCCTTCATTTCTCTCCTTCCTTTCTTACTGCTGCTTCTGCAGCCCTCCTGTTTTCCTCCTCATTTCCTCTCATTTTTCTTTTTCTCTTTATTTTTTCTTATTGAAAATATGTTTTCATACAATATATTCAGATTATAGTTTCCCCTCTCTTCCTTTTTCCTCTACTTAATCTTTGTGTTTCTTTGATTTTATTTTAATACAGTAGTCCTCTTTGAGTTAATTAAGCTCCTTTTTAACATTTATTTTTATAAAAAAATAAGTACTTCAGCATTTGTACTTTTTAACATTTTCATTGTTTTAATATCTTATTTGAAGGAAAAAATATATAATATGTATTGTATATATTGTATATATATAATTTACTATTGTTCTTATCATTGACAGTTTATTAAAGGACAATCCAGTTGGAAAGTATATATTTTTGAGAAAAAAAATGAAAGAGATAGATAAACGCACTACACAGATTTTAGAAAAGATCATCTTATAATGAAGTGATATGACTGAGTTAACAACCAGGCAAGATTCCAGGACGTGGCTTGTTGTTGGACCAGGTTTTGATAAGTAATTTATAGAACTACTATTTTCACAGAACCACAATTAGTTTTTCAATAAAGAAAGAACACTAACGATAGATTATTAGGACATCTACAAGATTCCCTCTTTAACCCAGATAAGAAATGATGACACGTTGAAATAAGCGATGTGACCATGGGTGTGTAAGGGATACCCAGACTCCAGATATACCTTCAGGTGAGAATAAGAGTCCAAAAGGGATTCCAGGTTCAATGTCTGCAGTGACCTGCTTATGGGTGAGTCACTCATGTTGCAGATGATAGCTTCATATTGATGCCTATGCAAATGGCCACAGAATAAAACAAATGTATAAAAGTGGGGCTGGCACTTGGTGAAGAGAGGAGCATGGAGAGGTAGAAGAATGAGAAAGAACAAAGGAATGAGTGCCACTAGAATGTATTATGCAAATGTGTGTAATTGTCCAGAATAAGAAAATAATGATATTAAAATGAACTTAGATAAGCTCATAACACATAGTTAATGAATTATGGACAGTGTGAAGAATTGTATCTGCTCTTGCTCATTTATATTAATCCTATTAGTGTACATTAATTGTAAAATTTATGTAAAACTAAAGATCTATTATCTTTTAAATACTTTCCGTTCTATCACCAAAATCCACAATGGAAGTATAGAACTGACTCCCAGAATTTGTTCTGTCACTTGTAAGGCATGAGTATATGTGTGTGTGTTTGTGTGTGTGTGTGTACATGTGTATATGTACACATATGCATTCAAAATGAATCATTACTGTTTAATATATTCTAAAATACAATGCTTAAGATTAAATTATTGAGACAATCTCTAGTGTGTACAGGCAATTGCACTTATATAGGCAATTTGCAAAGGAATGCAAATTCAAATTAATAAGAACATGCCAAATGATTCAAGGTCACACAGAAGATAAGAGCTCAATGGTTTCAAAATAAAGTTATAAAAATAAGACAATTTCATGGACACATTGTATACCATTTACTTTTAATACTGAGTAAGATTCCAACTCTGCAACCACTATCTGTGTTAGTTTAATAATACATTCTTTCAAACATTTTCATATCTATTTCATAAGTAGAACTATGAATTTTGCAAATACCATTCTTCGTATAAAGTATGTATAATGATAAAGTGCAAACTTGAATAATAAGAATTAGGCAGAACCTAAGAATTACAGGATGGTACTATAAGAAATTGCACTGATTTGTCAAACACTGTGCTAACATTTTTCTACTGCACTGAAGCTAGGAGTTTAAACACAATTAATTTACTGCCCATGTCTCCTGGACTGACTTTTGTGACTCTGAATTTCTTTTAAAATAGTATTTCATAAGCAATTTTACCATGCCTGTAGTTCTTATGGAAGAACACAGTTAAATACTGTATGCATAAGATAATTGTCTTCCTGTTAAAATAAGTATGAATAGATATAATATATTTATTTCCCTTTAGTAATTAAAAATAATTAGGTTTACTTTTGTATAGCATATATGTAAATAATAATCATTTTCATATCCAAATTGGGTCTACTAGATCCCAATTAACTAATTTAATAAAGTTAGCTCTCTTGCTCAGACTAAAGTAATTTCTACTTATAATACACAGCAGGAATAATATTTTTGAAACTATCATAAAATCAACATTTTTAATAGCTATAAAATCAAAGAGAACTAAAAGTGAGCTCATTAAAAAGTTCTGTTTCAACAGCTAACTGCTACATTTCCTACAATAAATATCCTTTAGGACTAAGTAATGCACTCAAGACGTGAAGTTTTGTTTAGAGCTTCATCTTTAGCAGACTGCCAAATGCCCACAATAATAACCTACTTTTCAGCAAGATACCTCATTTCATATCAAACACTAAGTCAAATTTTATTTTTGATAAAAAATCCCCAAATATTTGATTTTAAATTTTAGATAAAGCTGTCAAAAATTAGAAAGTAGAACTAAATCTTTTGTAAACTGTATGCAAGTTTAACTTCCTTTTAAAAATTGTAACCTTTGGCTGGGCAGTGGTGGCACATGCCTTTAATCCCAGCACTGGGGAGGCAGAGGCAGGCAGATCTCTGTGAGTTCAAGGCCAGCCTAGTCTACAAGAGCTAGCTCCAGGACAGATGCCAAAGCTACAGAGAAACCCTGTCTCAAAAAAAAAAAAAAAATTGAAACCTTTAAAGTAGTTGTCATGGTTTATCAAAGGGAGTAGATCTTGAGTAAACTGAACCACATGTGTGAATACCTCTGTGAGGAAATACCTAGGAAGAGGAAAAGAAGTGCTCCCTTAATGGATTGGGATGGCAGGGTGGCCCCGATGAAAGAGACCCAAGGAATATGTACAGAACTGCTTGAACATGCTGCATAGGTCTCAGGTGGACTGATGCTGAGCAACAGACTAAGCCTCCTGAAGTATGCAGCCTCATGATCTGAGCAGCCCCTGGGCTCTGAGGCATAGAGTGTGTACATGGTTATTTTTGGTCTCTGTTATGTAAGCCAATCTAACAAATCCTTTTTTAAAATGTATATCCATTGCATCAATTGTTGCTCTGCAGACGTCTGCTGAATAGAGTAATTGACTTTGTAAAATTAGCTGGAAGGAATTTAAAATAACTGGCCATAATACAAGGAATAAACTTGAAAATTATTGTTTCATCTCAAGGGACCATTTTAATATTTAAAATGTTGTTGATGCAACATTAATACACTTCTTTCTTAATGTGATACAGTCTTTTCTAGTATGATTAAATCTATACATCATAATAATAGGGAAACAATAACAGACACAGATGCATGACAGTAAGATCTCTGACAATGGTGTTGACAGGAAAAAGGCAAGCTAAAGGGAAGTTATTAATATCACCTGATGGGATTTTTATGCCCTCATTTCTTTTGCTCATTATTAATCTTGGTACTTTAGGAGCTATAGTAAGTGCCATC